AATTAGCTAGGCTATTGTCCAAAATTTCAGCATCAATCTTGCAATTAACTAAGTTTTAAAAAGCATGTTTAACTGTATAGAATGTGCAAATACAGTAGAACCAAAATCAATGCAAATTTTAAACTACTGTCTCAATCCACTGTCACTCTCTGGCAGCCCAGTCAGTCAGACCTTATAAATTTCAGAAACGCAAGCAGCAGGAAAGACTGTTGGCCTTACTTGTGAGTTTTCATATCTCTACATTTTTTTATGTGGGAGGTATGACYAAGTAAAAAACAACCTTCAATTTCTGTTTTAAAGAGAATAATTCAAGTTAAAAATATAAGTGACATCTATGGAAGTTTGGGTGATCACACATAAAGTGTGTAACATCAACTGGAAGGTAATCCACAGAAAAACCTCAGCACAAATAKAATTTTTTCAAGTCTTTTTTTTTACTTTAAACTTGTCTTTTTGTGACGTAATTGTAATCTAATTATGGGTGATATGATATATTTTTGGTATTTCTGGCTCTGTGTTAAACTGGTTCACCTCTTATTTATCTGAACGGTCTTTTACTGGTTTTATGAATCAGGTTTACTCTGATGTTGCACCACAAGACAGCTGTGCAACATCAGGTTTGCGCTGATGTTGCACCGCTGTCTTGTGGGGTACCCCAAGGTTCAGTTTTGGGTCCAATCTTCTTTTTATTGTACCTGTACCKTTTAGGAGGTATTTTAAAATGTTACAGTAATGTGTCCTACCATCTGTATGCTGATGACATACAGTTGTATGTTCCTTTCGACCCTCTGAGTTCTTCAAACTATCTGAACTCAGTAACTGTCTGTCAGAAGTCAAAATATGGCTGAACAACAACTATCTGTTTTTATCATTTAAGGAACATTTCAAAGCTGAGATCTTTTGTGTCACAGAAGGAACTAGAGATGGTTGTTCATGCTTTTATTTCTTCTCGTTTAGATTACTGCAACAGTCTTTTTACATGTCTAAACAAATCCTCCTTGGCTCGGCTTCAGTCTGTGCAAAACGCTGCAGCGAGGTTATTAACAAAGACCCACAGGAGAGCCCACATTACACCTGGTTTAGRCTCTCTGCACTGGCTCCCTGTGACTTTAAGGAGTCATTTTAAATTTTTAGTTTTAACTTCCAGAGCACTTCATGGTCAGGCCCCCAAATACATCCTGGACCTTCTGAAGCCTCTCTGTCCATCCAGGACTTTGAGGTCTTCTAATCAAATGCTGCTGGTGGTCCCTCGAACCCATTATAAAACCCGTGGAGACAAAGCTTTTCAGGTGGTGGCCCCGAGGCTCTGGAACGCTCTCCCTCTGTCCCTTCGCTGCTCAGATTCTACTGACTCTTTTAAGAAACATCTTGAGACATTTTTATTCAGACAGGCTTTTAGTTAATGTGCTTTTTATTGTGTTTTAATTGTTGTTTTTATATCTGCGATCTATTTTATTGTTTTTGATCATTTTTGCTTTCTGTGAAGCACTTTGTGATGTTTGTCTGTGAAAGGTGCTATAGAAATAAAGTTTACTTACTTACTTACTTATTTAAAGCGTACTGCTCACTGCAGTTTATTGAAGGAACTGTTTTTCAGTGTTTTAGTTTGATGTTTCCGTGGATGTTACAGAATGCTGGTTTAACACCGTCTGGATGTCTGGAAATAAGTTTTGGTTGATCAATGAATCGATTAATTGATGCAGTGTCTGAAGAAGAAATGATAGCTGTTATAGCTTAACAGTTTTAGTTCCTGTTTTCGTGCCATGTCATTTTCATAGGAAATGTTTCATACTAGATTTTTTTTGTTTTGTTATCATCTGCACCTCATTTACCTTCTGCCAAAGCAACATTTTTGTCTGATGCTTCACAGAACAAACAGTATATTTTTGCTGCAATGCAAACATGAATGTACAAATAATCAGGTGAATTTTTCACTCCTTCTTAGAGTAACAAACCTAAATTGCCAATATGTTTATATA